CCTCTGGGGGCCCCTCTGGGGGCCCCTCTGGGGGCCCCTCTGGGGGCCCCTCTGGGGGCCCCTCTGGGGGCCCCTCTGGGGGCCCCCAGAGGGCATTTAGTGGGGCGTACCTGTGGGGTGTACGTACAGCTCGTGGGGCAGTCGTTGGCTTGCAAATGGGCCTCGAGGACTTTTGCTGCTGCTGCTGCTGCTGCAGTGCGTCTGGCGAGGCTGCTGAGGGGTTTCCGCAGCTTGGGAGCAGCAGCAGAAGAGGAGCTGCTGGCAGCAGCAGCAGCAGCAGCAGCAGCAGCAGCAGCAGCAGCAGGAGAAGAGGAATTTGGAGAAGACAAAAGGGAGACACCAGAAGCAGCAGAAGCCCAAGGAGTACATACACCCGAAAGCCGGCAGCCTTCTACAGCCCGCAGCGCCGCCTCAAGCACTCCAGCGCACAGCTCAGGCAGCAGCCCTTGCTGCTGCTGCTGCTGCTGCTGCTGCTGCTGTTGCTGCTGCTGCTGTTGTTGTCGCCGCTGCTGCTGGTGTTTTTGTCGGCGCTGCTGCTGCTGCTGCTGCAGCAGCAGCTGCTGCTGCTGCTGCTGCTGCAGCTCGGCCAAGCGCTGGTGCAGCTGCCTCCGCATTTTGAGGAGACTGTCGAAGACACAAAGAACTTCTCTGTAGTCCTTTTGCTGCAGCAGCAGCCGCATGGCTTCTCCGTGCACCCAGGGGGTGTACTGCCGCAGCAGCTGCTCCTGCAGCGCGGGCTGCTGCTGCTGCTGCTGCTGCTGCTGCTGCTGCTGCTGCTGCTGCTGCTCGCCTTGCTGCTGCTGCTGCTGCTGCTGCTGCTGCAGGCGGGCCTGATACACAGCTTTGGCAAGCAGGGGGCCCCCCAGCAGAGACAGCTCATAGTCACTCACAAGGGCCTTGGCAGCTTCTGCTGCATCCCTCGCGGTCTGCAGCAGAAGGGGGCCCCCTTGGGGGCCCCCCTGGGGGCCCCCCTGTTGTGCATTGTCATCGTTGTCAGCAGCAGCAGCAGCAGCAGCAGCAGCAGCAGCAGGGGCCTCAGCAAGAGCTGCTGCGAAGGCTGAGAGCAGCCGCGCTGTCAGCAGAAAGCTGTTGTAGTTTGGGAAGGGCCCGTTCACCTTGAGGTGTCTGTACACCCCAAAGCCTGCTGCAGCGGCTTGCTGCAGCAGCGCAGCGCGATCAGCAGCAGCAGCAGCAGCAGCAGCAGCGGGAACTGGGCTCAAACCGGAAGAGTGGGCCCCAGCAGCAGCAGCAGCAGCAGCAGCAGCAGCAGCCACGCATGCCTTTATTACTGCGTTGGCTGTGCGTGTACAGACACTGCCGCCCCACTGCTGCTGCAGCAGCGCCGCCCTGCAGCAAAAGCAGCAGCAGCAGCAGCAGCAGCAGCAAATTTGTCTTTTTGCATTTCTTAACTTTCACGCTGCAGTTGCTTCCTCCAACAAAGAATTGATAATTATAATTAAATAATTATTATTTTAATTTTAATTTTATTTTAATTTTTTATTTTCATTTTATTTGATGAAATAAGATGCAGCAACGCAAAAGTGCCCATCTTCCCATTCGCTGCTGCTGCTTCAGTTGCTCGGGAGCTGCTGCTGCTGCTGCTGCTGCTGCTGCTGCTGCTGCTGCTGCTGCTGCTGCTGCCGCTGCGGTGACGTTCGTGCTGCTGCTGCTGCTGCCGTTCAGGCTTGTGCTGCAGCAGACTCACTCGAGGGCCATGGAAGGAGCTGCTGCTGCTGCTGCTGCTGCTGCAGCATAGTAGCAGCAGTCCGCGTTCGGCCGGGCAGCAAACAAGGCGGTGAGCAGTCCAGCAGCAGCATCTGCGTCTGTGCATCTGCTGCTGCTGCTGCTACTATTGCTGCTGCTGCTGCTTTCTTCTTCGCTGCTGCTGCTGCTGCTCTCTTCTTTGCTGCTGCTGCTGCTGTTGCCGTTTCCTTTGTTGCTGCTGCTGCTGCTGCTGTCTCGGATGTTTTGGGGACTAAATGCAGCCTCTGCTGCTGCAGCAAGAGCCACGTGATGCCGCAGCAGCAGCAACGCTGCTGCTGCGTCTCCCTTCTGCTGCTGCCGCCGCAGCAAAGCCAGAAGCTGCTGCTGCTCCTGGACCACCTTCAGTCCACTAAGACAGCTTGCCCACCTCCGCCGCTGCTGTTGCTGCCGCTGCTGCTGCGCTGCTGCAGCTGCTGCTGCAGCAGATGCTGCTGCTGCTGCTTCTCCTTTAGAAATGGCGCTCAAGCCAGAAGCTGCATGCAGCACCTGCTCTGCAGCAGCTGCTGCTCCCACGCTAATTTCTGCTGCTGCTTCTCGAGCTAAGCTCTGCAGCAATCCCACAAGTTTTGTCAGTTTTGCTGCAGCTGTTCCTGCTGCTGCTGCTGCTGCTGATGTTTGCGACTTCGCTGTTGCCTCTTCTGCTGCTGCTGTTGCTGCTGGCTCAGGCTTTGCTGCTGCTGCTGCTGCTTCCCTCAAGCGCGCTTGAGCTGCTGCAGCAAGACCCTTAAATGCAGCAGCAATCACGCTGCTGATTAGCTGCTTTTGTTTCCTTCTTGCGCCTTCTGCTGCTGCTGCTGCTGCTGCTGCTGCTGCATTTCTTTTCTTTCCCTCTGCATTTTCCCCTGCTGCTGCTACGTCTTTCTGCGTGTCCGCCGTTGCTTCTGCTGCTGCTGCAGCAAGAGCCAGCAGCTCCTGGCCCTGCTGCTGCTGCAGTTCTCCGGAGGCAAACAAAGCCTCAACAGCAGCAACAAGAAGCTGCTGCTGCTGCGGTGACAGCAGCAGCAACTGAGCCGACAGCAGCCGCTTGAGGTGTACGTACACCCCATCCAGCAGCTCAGCAGCAGCAGCAGCAACGCCGCAGCTAGCTGCAGCAGGCCCACAGCTAGCCACAGCTAGCTGGCTGTGGCCCAAGACTTCTGCTGCTGCTGCTTCATAGCCATTTCCCTGCAGCAGCACCTCTCTGGCCATCTTTGCCACTGCAGCAAAATGCCGAGAGAAGACATCCTGTGGGGTACCGCCGGGGGCCCCTGGGGGCCCCCCAGGGGCCTCCGGGGGCCCCCCAAGGGCCTCGGGGGGCCCCCCCAAAGCTCCTGGGGGCCCCCCAAGGGCCTCGGGGGGGCCCCCAGGGGCCTCCGGGGGCCCCCCAAGGGCCTCGGGGGGCCCCCGGGGGGCCCCCTGGGGGCCCTTCGAAACCAAAATGCGTCTTGAGAGCTCCAGGGCCACCGGCAGCAGCACGTGGGCAAACTGGAGGGCTGAGGGGGGCGGCAGCAGCAGCAGCAGCAGCAGCAGGGCCTCGCAGGCTGTTTCCAGCTGTACGTACACCCCCGCACACCCACTGCAGCGGCAAGTGCAGCAGCAGCAACGGCAGCAGCAGCAGAGCCAGCAGCAGCAAAGGCAGCAGCAAAGGCAGCAGCGGCAAATTCGGCATCACTTGCTGCTGACAGCAACTGCAGGAGCAGCAGCAAAAGCCAGCAGCAGCAAAAGCCAGCAGCAGCAAAAGCCAGCAGCAGCAAAAGCCAGCAGCAGCAAAAAGTCAATATTGCCTTAAGGGGCCATTCACTGAAGCTAACAAAAAGCAAGCAGCACTAGCAATACATGCAGCAGCAGCAGCAGCAGTAGCAGCTGCAGCAGCAGCAGCAAATAACGCAGCAGCAGCAGCAGCAAATGCAGTAGCAGCAGATGCAGCAGCAGCGTCTACAGCACGAGCAGCAGCGACCACAGCAGCAGCAGCAGCAGCAGCAGCAGCGTCTGCAGCAGCAGCAGCAGCAGCACGCACCTGCCCATCCTTCATGGCTGCAACGGCCACCGCAACTGCAGCAGCAGCAGCTTCTCGCTGCATGCTTTCTCCGAGGGCCCCCAGACCCTTTTGGGGCCCCCTGCTGCTGGGGGCCCCCCATGGGGGGCCCCCCCGGGCTGTTGGGGGCCCCCCTGGGGGGCCCCTGACAGCAGCAAGAAGCTGCTGAAGTGCCTTCTTGCTGCTGCCCTCCTCAGCAAAGGCCCGAGCCAGCAGCAAATGTGTTGAAGCTCCCAAGCTGCAGCTTCCTGCTGCTGCTGCTGCTGCTGCTGCTGCTGCTGCTGCTGCTGCGTCGCGTGCTGCAGTGCCTTGCGCGCTGCTGCATGGGGGGCCCCCTGCTGCACTTCCAGCTTCAGGGGGCCCCACATAAAGAGATGCAGAGGGGGCCTCTGAGGGAAGTAAAGTTTGCTGCTGCTGCTGCTGCTGCTGCTGCTGCTGCTGCTGTAGAGAGCTAGCCACACGAAGTGCTTCAGTTGCTGTGACGCCCTGCTGCAGCAGCGCAGCAACTGCTGCTGCTGCTTCAGTGGCAGTTACACCATGAACTTCCTGAATACGAGTATAGTCCCAGGTCGCCAGCTGCTGCTGCTGCTGCTGCTGCAGCTGCTGCTGCTGCTGCTGCTGCTGCTGCTCGTTGGTGCCAGCTGCTTTTCCAAAAGCAGACTCAATACGAGCAGCAGCAGCAGCGACGCATTTGGCGCGCTGCTGCTGCAGCTGCAGCAAATCATCAGCCAGCATAAGGGCCAGGGTGGAGTCCCCTGCCTTTTGCTGCAGCAGCAGCTGCAGCAGCTTGTGCTGCTGCTGCTGCAGTCGCTGCAGCTGCTGCAGCGCCTCGAGACAGGCACTCGCCACGTGCCACGCCCGCCGCAGCAGCAGCAGCTCGCTGCTGCTGCCAAGCTGCTGCTGCCCCTGGGGGCCCCCTTCAGCTGCAGCAGCAAGTACCCTTTTGGGGGGCCCCCCTGGGGGGCCCCCCTGCTGCTTGCTGCTGCAGCTAGCCCATTTGCTGAAAAGGTTTGTCAGCCGCAGCAAAAGGTCTTGGAAATCCAAAAGAAAAGAAAAAGGAATTAATTTTAAAAATGCCATTTCCAAAAATATATTTGTGAGGCTCTGAAGCACTGCAGCGGCTTCCTGCTGCTGCTGCTGAGGTGTACGTACACCCCAGCCGCCACAAGGCGCTCCCGCTGCTGCTGCTGCTGCTGCTGCTGCTGCTGCTTCTGCTGCTGTTGCTGCTGCTGCTGCTGCTTCCAAAGCCTCGATGCGAGACTGGCAAGAAGACAATGCGGCTGCTGCGGAGGCGGCGATGGGAGGCGAGGCTGCATCCCCAGCAGCAGCAGCAGCAGCAGCAGCAGCAGCAGCAGCAGCAAACGGGCTGACACTCTGAAGCTTGAGCTCTTTGCCCAATGAAGAGCCAAGGAATGGAGAAGCAGAAACCATTGGGGGCCCCCTACCAGGGGGCCCCCCCTGCGAGGCTGGGGGCCCCCTTGCTGCTGCAGTGCAGCAAGTTGCTGCCGGTCCAACACCCCTACCGCTGTTGCTGCTGCTGCTGCTGCTGCTGTTCCTGCTGATGCTTGTGCTGTTGTGTCTGCTGCCAGCGCTGCTGCTGCTGCATACAGCATGGGCTGTTCTTAGGCGAGAGGGCCCGCAGAATGCAGCAATGCTGCTGCTGCTGCTGCTGCTGCTGCTGCTGCTGCTGTGGGCCACTGGGCCCACAGAGCAGCGCTGCGCAAAGCCGCAGGGCCTGCATGCAGCAGCAGCAGCAGTCTGCATGCACCCCACAAGTGCAGCAAAAGCCAGCAGCAGCAAGACTCTAGTAGCAGAAAGACTCCCCCGTGGCCCCCGCAGGGGGCCCCCACGAGCTGCTGCTGCAGCACCCATGGGGGCCCCCTCTAAGCTAGCAGCAGCAAGAGAAGAAGCCAAAGACTGAAGACCCAAGAAAAGGGAAAAGCCCTTTGAAGGGCCCCCTGGGGGGGCCCCCAGGGGGCCCCCCGGGGCCCCCCTGGGGGTCTCATGGTGGGGCTCGCCAAGAGGAGCCTGGGAGGAGTAAAAGGGAATCTGGGAAGTTGAAAAGAAGTTTAAAAAGTCTTTTTTATTTCTAAGTCGAAGCAGAGGAGGCAAAACCCTCATAATGGGGGCGAGCTGGCGGACCGGGAAGACATGGCGGGCTGGGACCGCTGCAGCGGGAACCCGGGAACTTTAAATGCTTCTGCTGGCTTCGATCTGCTGCTGCAGCAGCAAAATGGCCAAAAAGTCTTCAAAAAAAGCCCGAGAATGAATACTCTGCGGTGTACAGACACCGCAGCGGCAGCGCCGGGGTCGGCTGCTCTGGCCGACGGCCGCAGCAGCTGCTGCAGTTGAATGTTCCAGCAGAATTCATGAATGAAAGAAAAGTAAAGAAACAAACTAACAAATTGATTTCAGAGTTTCTTTTGGTTTTTTAATTTATATTCCGCCCTTTTTAGGGTATTTTCGGCGGAGAGCCGCTTCCGGCGGCGGCGCAGCAGCAGCCATGCTTCCCGAGCAACACTTGCATTTTCTGCAAAAGTGTCCGGCGTTCTTGAGCTCCAACAACATTTTTAAAAGTCAAATTTGCTCTTTTTTCCCTATGTTCTGGGAAAGCTGCTGAATTCGGGCTTTTTCGCCGAGGTTTCCGCCTCTGTTCCTCCGCGTGGTCCAGCTAGCATCGATGTTCAATTCAGAATTTCACCGGCGGCGCTGTCTGTCCTGGCCTCACGCCCAACTGCACTTCAAATTATAATTCTTTATCATTAATTTGCAAAATATTTCTCTTTTTCCGAAAGTGCCTTCAGCAGTTTTCTCGGACGCGTCGAAAGTGAACGCCGCTGGCTGCCGCCGGCTCGAAGCCGCCTCGAGGCTCCCCTGTTCCTTCAAGTTCAAATAATTCTTTTGAAGACAATTTCAGCTTTTTTCCCTTACAGAGTCGAGCCGAAAGACACCGCCAGCTGGCCATTAGCAGCAGCAGCAGCAGCAGCAGCAGCAGCAGCAGCAGCTGGGAACAGCTGCAGCAGCAGATCCTTCCTTTTCTCGCCCTTTGCCAACTTCAGCATGCAATCTTTCAAAGACTTCTTTTCTTTTCATTTGAAATTCAAACTTGCAAGTAGACAAAAGAGCTGCTGCCTTTGCCTCCCCCCAGCACACTAAACTCGGAGTCTTACCCCTTCGCAAGCTCTCTCTTCACCTGCTGCGCCGCAGCAGCAGCAGCAGCAGCAGCAGCAGCAGCCGCAGCAGCAGCAGCAGCAGCCGCTCTGGCTGAAAGGCGGGGAGGCAAGTGTGTTGGGCCCTTGCGAGGGCCGCGCTTGCTGCTGCAGCCTTCCCTCTATGTTCCCCCCAGCTAGCAGCAGCAAACTGCAGCAGCAAAAGCTCCCCCCAGCTAGCAGCAGCAAACTGCAGCAGCAAAAGGCCCCCCCAGCTAGCAGCAGCAAACTGCAGCAGCAAAAGGCCCCCCCAGCCCATGTCGCCTGCTGCTAGCCCCCGCCCCGGCCGGGGGATTCTCCGCAACGGCGTTTCAGCGAAGGCGAAGCAGCAGCAAAGCCCCAGCCCAGCAGCAGCAGCAGCAGCAGCAGCAGCAGCAGCAGCGGCGCCAGCAGCAGCAGCAGCAGCAGCAGAACGCGCAGGCAGCAGGCCCTCCAGGAGCTTCTTGAGTGTTGAAAATAGCATTTCAGGATCTCCAAGATGGAAAGAAATGGAAAGAAAAACAAAAGTTGTAAATTCAAAAAAACTTGAATTTGGATCTCGCAGCAGCAGGGGGCCCCCCGAGGGGCAGAGGGGCCCCCCGGGGAAGCAGGGGGCCCCCGAAGTTGCAGGAGAAGAAGGCGAAGGAAAGCTGAAGACGGGCCCCCCTGCTGCTGCAGCAGCAGCAGCTGCTGCTGCTGCTGCTGCTGCTGCAGCTGGTGCTGCAGCTGGTGCTGCAGCAGGCAGCAAGGATCCAGCAGCAAGGAGCAGCAGCGGCTCTCGGGCCTCAGTTGCTTTTCCGAAGGAGGAAAATGGAATTGGAAAAGAACAATTTAAAAAGTCCGACAGACTCAGCAAACTGCTTGCTGCAGCAGAAGAAGCAGCAGCAGCAGAAAAGAGAAAACGGAGAGAAAGCACGCAGCAGCTGCTGCGCAGCAGCCCGCTGGCAGCAGCAGAAATGCAGCAGCTGCTGCTGGGGGAGAAGCGGCTGCCTGAGGAGCCCCCAGAAGCCCCAACTGAGGAAAATGCATGCAAAGAACTTCTAAAAGATCAAAAAAATGAAATTAAATGGAAAGTAATGCCAGAAATCCGCAAAAAGGACTTCTTGCTCAAGTACACCCCAGAGGCGCAAAGGCAGCAGCAGCCGCCCGCCATCTTGAATGTGGAAAGCGAAGGAAATTCGGGATTCAACTCCGAAATTCTCCAAGAACTGTGTGAGTTTTCATTTTTAATTCATTTTTAATTTATTTTTAATCCATTTTAATCCATTTTTAGTTTATTTTGCAGTTAATTGAGCCCTTTTTGGCCAAGTTCCCTGCTCTGGGACCGCGGGAAACTCTTGACTTTTCAGAAAATGAAAATAAACGAACTAACAGTCGATTAAATGGTATTTCGACATTAAACAAACATTTTGGATTAATTTTAAAATTTAAATTTGCGAAAACAAAACGAAGAAATGCAGAATCCGTTTTGCGATTTTCAGGCGACAAATGGGTGGAGCCGTACCCGCAGTTTCGGGTAAGTTGAAGAAAAAGCGAATTAAAAATTAAAACATTTATTTATTTATTTATTTTATTTTATTCTTTTTATATTCTTCTGAAGGGCCGAGACTGCGGGCCCTTTGCAAGTGTGAAGAGCAGTTCAGAAACGCAGCAGAGTTCAGTTTTTCGTGTTTTTTGAATTTGCAAGTTTTTGAATTTCTTTCTTTTCTTTTCAAGTTTTTGAATTTCTTTCTTTTCCTTTCAAGTTTTTGAATTTCTTTCTTTTCTTTTCAAGTTTTTGAATATCTTTCTTTTCTTTTCAAGTTTTTGCATTTCTTTTTCTTCTTTTTGCAGCTTCCCTCCCGCGCTGCTTCCCCTTCGCAGCTGAGCGAAGGGGAGGAAGCTGAGTTGGGAGTTTCTGAAGAAGACTCTTTGCGGGAAACTCCGCTGAACAGCGAAGAAGCTCTGCAGACTTTTTTGCTCGAAAAGAGTTTTAAAGAGTCTTGGAAACACCGCCAGTTGCTGCACTCCGCAGTGCGGGAAAGCGCTGCGCACAAGAGCCAAGTGGCCACGGCCTGGCTGGCCGAGAAACTTGTGCAGGAAAGCAGAACTCCCCGCAAAGGAATCCTGCGAATCGAGTGCGATCTCGCCATCTTTTTGTTTTTAAATGTTTTATTTTTTAAATTTAATTCAATTTCGTTTCATTTTCGCGAGTTTTTCCGGTTTTCAACTCCATTTCCAACTCCACGCGCGCCCAACTCCGACTCCTCGCTGCATTCATCTTTCGGCTTTTCCTTCAGTTCAAACACTTTTATGAAATCAAATTTTGCAAATTCGAATTTAATTTCAATTCAAAAATAAATGCATGCGCGGTCAAGCCCCAAACAGTTGCACAGAACAGAAGCTGCTGCTTCGCGAAGTTGAACTGAATGTGTGCATGCAGCTTTTAAGCAGCTTTTTCTTTCTTTTGGAATCCCCCAAATGCCTTTCTTTTTCTGTTTAAAGAATTCTTTTATAATTGCCAATATCTGTGTCTTCTTTTGCAATTTTTAAATTCATTTTTCTTATTTTTCGCATTTTTTCATGCAAAGCTCCGTCTCGCCGCCTGGCTGCGTGTTACCCATTTAAAAAGGATTTATTAGGATTATTATTTAGGATTTATTTGCTTTCTTTCGAACTTTAATTTATTTTATTTCATCTTTTGCTGCTTCGACCTGCAGAGAAGTTGAAGAAGATGCCGAGGGGCCCCCAGGGGGCCCCCAAGCCGCTTCGCCGTTTGCCACTGGGGGGCCCCCTGAGCAGGCAGAGCTAATGGCTCTTCACCACATTTCGAAAACAGCTCAACAAGTGAATTAATTCAAATAATATCTTTTTAAAATAAATCTTTTATAATATCTTTTTAAAATAAATCTTTTCAAGTTTTATTTCATAAATCTTTTCAAGTTTTATTTCCTAAGTTTTCTTTATTTGCACTTTACTGCATTTGTTTTCGTGTGGGATCTGCTTTTGAAATTTGTGGGCGTTTCTGACAACTCCGTTTCTCTGTTATAGTAGTAGTACTAATAATAATAATAATAATAACAGTAATAATAAAAATAACAATAATAATGATAATAATAATTAATAATAGCAATAATGATTATATTAATAATAATAACAATAATAATAATAATAATAATAATAATAATAGTAATAATAATAATAATAACTAATAACAATAATGATAATAATAATAATAATAATAATAATAGCAATAATGATAATTGTAATAATAATAATAATAAATAATAATAATAAATAATAACAATAAATAATAACGATAATAATAATAATAAATAATAATAATAATAATAATAATAATAATAATTAATAATAACAATAGTAATAATAATAATAATAATAACAATAATAACAATGATAGCAATGAATAATAGTAATAATAATAATCATCATCAATAATAATAAATAATAATAATAATAATAGTTGTAATGACAATCTTCTCTGCAGCGGTTTGTCTTTGCGTTAATTCCTGATTTGGTAATTATATTATTTGAAAATAAAAGTTATATATTTTTATTTTAATTTTTCATTTAATTACTATTAATTAGAATGGCATTTTATTTGTTGATTATTTCAACATCTTATTTGGTAATTATTATCCAAAAATAATAATTAATTGTTCATTATT